CCTGAACCGGTGCCTGGCCGCTGTAACGGTCTGGATGAGGGCGAACAAACTGAAACTAAATCCAGACAAGACAGAGGTACTCCTGGTCAGTCGCAAGGCCGAACGGGATATAGGGTTACAGCCTGTGCTGGATGGGGTCGCACTCCCCTTGAAGGCGCAGGTTCGCAGCTTGGGTGTGACCCTGGACTCATCGTTGAGCCTGGATCCCCAGGTTTCAGCGGTGACCAGGGGAGCATTTGCACAGCTCAGGCTCGTGCGCCAGCTGCGCCCGTATCTCGGGAAGTCTGACTTGGCCACGGTTGTACACGCTCTTGTCACATCCCGCCTGGATTACTGCAACGCTCTCTACGTGGGGCTGCCCTTGAAGACGGCCCGGAAGCTTCAGCTGGTTCAGCGTGCGGCAGCCATGTTACTAACTGGAGCGGGTGGCAGGGAGCATACAACGCCCTTGCTGTCCCAACTCCACTGGCTGCCGATCTGCTACCGGACCCAATTCAAGGTGCTGGTTTTGGCCTTTAAAGCCCTAAACGGTTCCGGCCCAAAATACCTTGCTGACCGCATCTTGGCCTACGAGCCCACGAGGACCTTGAGATCGTCTGGGGAGGCCCTTCTCTCGATCCCGCCTGCATCACAGGCACGGCTGGCGGGGACGAGGGAGAGGGCCTTCTCGGTGGTGGCCCCCCGGCTGTGGAACACTCTCCCGGCACACATTAGACAGGCGCCCTCCCTCATGTCCTTTCGAAAAAGCCTTAAGACCTGGCTGTTCGAGAGGGCATTTAATTAAGTGCTAGCAATGTCATTACGGTAATGAGAATTGGAATGGTATAAGGACGAGGAGACTGGCCTACGATTCTACTAAGAGACGAAGCGGATTTTTATGTAGTTTGTATTTGTTGTATTGTGTGTATTGTGGATATTGGCTTTTGTAACTGTCTTTTGACGTGTACTGTACACCGCCATGAGTCGCCCGAAAGGGCTGAGAATGGCGGTTAATAAGTGCATCTAATAAATAAATAAATAAATAAATATTCGTGCAAAGTTTGATCCAGATCTATCATTGTTTGAGTCCACAGTGCTCTCTGGATGGAGGTGAACTACAACTCCCAAACTCAAGGTCAATGCCCAATAAACCCTTCCAGTATTGTCATGGGAGTTCTGTGTGCCACATTTGGTTCAATTCCATCAGTGGTGGAGTTCAGAATGATCTTTGATTGTAGGTGAACTATAAATCCCAGCAACTATAACTCCCAAGTGACAAAATCAATTTTTTGAGTGATGGTCGCTCCTTGGGTTAGTAGATGTCTTGTGGCCAAATTTGGTGTCAATTCGTCCAGTAGTTTATGTTAATCCCACAAATGAACATTACACACACACACACACACACACACACACACACACACACACACATACATATATATACATATATAACATATAGTTAGTATATTTTTCCATAAATTTCCATTAGATGCTTTTCAGATTGTACAAGTAAAAGAAGGGGAAATATTGGGAGGCAGGAAAGGAGGGTTGGGGTGTATGATGGCAGCAAAGGGGTGAAGGTTTGCTTACATAAGGAAAATATCCGTAGGGAGAAGTAAGGTATAAGGGGGATGGAAGTGAGGGAAAAAGGGAGGGTAGTGGATGGATGTGGTCTTGACTTCCCATTCGACTTCTCCATGTGTTCCCAAAAGGCAGAATAATGCCGAACAGGTAATGAACTAGGTTTCTTTCTATGTCTTCAGCTTCTCTCCATTTTGTAGTTTATCTTGATCTATTTCCTGTTTCCAGCTAGTATTTTCTTTTCGAGTTTTAGTTCTCACCCCTTTTTCATGTAATAATAATAATAATAATAATAATAATAATAATAATAATAATACTTTATTTGTACCCCGCTACCATCTCCCCAAGGGACTTGATGCGGCTTACATGAGGCCGAGCCCAAATACAACAATACAAGCAATAATAACAACAATACAAGCAATTAAAATAAAACATGGACAATACCATAATGCAACATTAACAATAAGACCACATGATTAAAAACTATGGGAAGGCCAAATGTAAAATTAAAATTGAAAGTAATGCTGGAACATGGACGAAAAATGATAGGGCGTTTGTGAAAAACATAAAAGCAGACCTAAAAAATGTAAAGTGCTTTGGAGGACAAAGTCCTATGGGATCATTATTCTGGGAAGGCACACTGGAACAGCCAGTCTTCACATAGTAGTCAGTCAGGTATTCATCATATTGTTTGCAATCTGTTTTCTTTATAGGTTTTCCTTTTGAGTCTTTGAGGTAGAAAGTTATTTCGCTAACTTTGTTTAGTTATTCTTTTTTAGATGGCATCTCCTTCAATTTCCACTTTTTTGGCATACACCATTCTGGCGGCTGTTAGTATCTATATAAATAAAAATGTAATGTTCGTTTGTGGGATTAACATAACTCAAAAACCACTGGACAAATTGCTGCCAAATTTGGCCACAAGACACCAACTAACCCAAGGAGTGACCATCACTCATTGTAATTTGGGAATTGTAGTTGCTGGGATTTATAGTTTACCTACAATCAAAGAGCATTCCGAACTCCACCAATGATGGAATTGAACCAAATGTGGCACACAGGACTCCCATGACCAACAGAAAACACTAGAAGGGTTTGGTGGGCATTGACCTAGAGTTCTGGAGTTGTATTTCCTCTATATCCAGAGAGCGCTGTGGACTCAATGATGGATCTGGGCCAATACTCAATAAGTCCAAATATGAACACAGATGGGGTTTGGGGAAAATAGACCTTGATATTTGGGGGTTGTAGTTACTGGGATTTATAGTTCACCTACAATTAAAGAGGATCCTGAAACCCACAAATGACAGAATTGGGGCAAACGTCCCATACAGAACCCCCATGACCAACAGAAAATACTTAGGGCCATCCAGTCCAACTCTCTTCACCAGGGCAAGAAAACGTAATCAAAGCCCTCCTGACAAAGAGCCATCCAGCCATAGATATAGATAGATATGATTCACACACAGAGAGATATAGTATCATAGATTTGAAAGGGACCCCTAAAGAAGGACAATTATATGTTGCATGTTCCAGAGTAGGCAAATTTCCACATCAACACTGACAAAGAAACAGCAAGAAACACTGTTTACCCACACACATAAAAATTACATATATTAGAAACCAACACTTTCTCATTACTTTATTTTCCAGATCACCCAACTGGGCCACAGCAACACGTGGCAAGGGTCGGCTAGTATGTTATATAGGTTAGTATATGTTATTGTTGTTATTCATCTCATTATTATCAGTATTTTCATCTGCCAAGTGGGCCAATGAAATTCCAGTTAGTATTATAGAAATGGAATTATGCTGGTGCCAGTGTATTAAGAGCAGTTGAATGCCAAGTCAGTTGTACATAATTGTAGACACCACCCTCAAATATAATTTAAAACCAACATATCATAGCATGGTGTGGCTCAGTCTGTTTTATTGATTCAGGTCACCTTCGCAAGTAATGAATCAATATGATAATGCTACATAGCCTACTATGAGTCAAAACCAGGAATAAAAGGAGCATAGAAATGAAAACAAAAATAATATCAATCCAGATGAGAAATTTACTAACATGAGTTAGTATTACCAAATCTATGTTTTAAAAAATGGGCTGTCTTTGATTGGTGACGTGCTGTAGGAGTTCAAGTGACAAAAATACTGGAAAACTGTGGCAATGGACAATCATTTAAGATTTTCAAAGCCATGGTATTCCCTGTAGTAACCTACGGATGTGAGAGCTGGACCTTAGGGAAGGCTGAGCGAAGGAAGATAGATGCTTTTGAGCTGTGGTGTTGGAGGAAAGTTCTGAGAGTGCCTTGGACTGCGAGAAGATCCAACCAGTCCATCCTCCAGGAAATAAAGCCCGACTACTCATTGGAGGGAAGGATACTAGAGACAAAGTTGAAGTACTTTGGCCACATCATGAGGAGACAGCAAAGCCTAGAGAAGACAATGATGCTGGGGAAAGTGGAAGGTAAAAGGAAGAGGGGCCGACCAAGGGCAAGATGGATGGATGGCATCCTTGAAGTGACTGGACTGACCTTGAAGGAGCTGGGGGTGGTGACGGCTGACAGGGAGCTCTGGTGTGGGCTGGTCCATGAGGTCACGAAGAGTCGGAGACGACTGAATGAATGAACAACAACAAAGAGTCTTACTTATCCAACATAAATGGGCCAGCAGAATGTTGGATAAGCAAAAATGTTGGATAATCAGGAAGGATTAAGGAAAAGCCTATTAAATGTCAAATTATGTTATGATTTTACACCAAAACATCATGTTTTACAACAAATCGAAGGGAAAAGCAGTTCAATACATGGTAACGTTATGTAGCAATAACTGTATTTATGAATTTAGCACCAAAACATCGCAATGTATTGAAACAGCTGTAGATCCGGGTGGGAGGCAGACTGCATTGGATAATACAGAACGTTGGATGAGCGAAGGTTGGATAAGCAAGACTCTACTGTAGTTAACATTTCCACAGGGATACTTCAGTTGTATATATATTTATTGGCCTACTTGTGCACAAAATGTTCAGATAGGTCTAGAGCTGTAAATATGTCTGAAATTTTCAATCATCTTTAAATCTTTTTCCAATATTAAAAGCATAAAAATAACATAGATGCATGTTAACCTATTTGGAAATTGTCGAGACAATTGTTAGCATATCTGTTTGTAATTATTGCAAAAGAAACAATTCAAGATTATTTTTTATTTTCCTGCTACAAAAATTCTGAAATTTAGTTCAGAAGAAAATATTATTAAGCAATGTATAATAAAAATACATTTTTTTCTCAGTGGTAAGTTGCATGAATCTTAATGGCTCTTGAATTCGCAAAAAGATGGAACTAAATGCACTGCAAGGGTTGAAGAGAAAAATCTTCTAGAAGTTTTGGCTGGTGTGGAAAAATATTTGCTCAACATGGCAAAATTTTGTATTAGAAGATTTACGTATGCTGCCTCATCAGAGCAATCATTTCATAATACATGCGGTGAGGTGCATCTAGTCCCCAGATGAAATCCAGATGAGCCCATTCTGGGATTGCTTTATGGAAAACAAGATTTCTGATCTGAGGGAGGAGTATAGAAACATCTTTTGGATCAGAGAGCAGGTCTTTTCCTCCAGACCACACTGCTGTTGCCACATTCATATCTTCCACTTTATATATAGGAGGGATGGGCTAGAAAAATACATATAATATTAGAAGTGACTTGATAAATAAATGCATTTTATCTAAAAATGAATGAATCTGTGACATGCTGCTTCTCTCTTGAATTATGACAATCCATGTGCCCACTTTCAAACAGATTTTATCACCCACAGCAGTGTCAATTTTTAGGAATGTGGAATATTTCCCCAATTACAATCTTGACATAATGGCATTTCTTCCTCTCATTTCCTTCCTGTAATGCTCAGGCTTCTCCATGATGTGGTATGTGAAAGTCACTTTATTTTCTTTATCAAAGTCCGGATCCAGATATACCTTTATCCCAGAAACATCCCTGTTTATTTATTTATTTAAAACTTTTATATCCCGATCTTTTCAACCTCCGTAGGGGGACTCAGACCGGCTTACAGCAAGAATTCAATGCTAACAGTACAATCTAAAAACATCATATAATAACGAGTTAAAATATGTATCGATTAAAATTACAAATAAGCCAAATCGGCAAGATAAAATCATGTCCAACTCAGTCTGTATGTCGATAAAAAAAGGTGGACGTTTCTGTCCACACCCACCCCAGAAAGTGCACACTTTCTGGAGTGGTTGTCCAGACGTTCTCTTGGGACTAGATCGAGAGGCCCTACCCCCCCCCTCCCCGCAAGCCCCCAGATCCCTTAGAAAAGCAATAAAAACTTACTTGGCATCCATTAGAAGCCTCAGCCAGCTTTCCTGGCATGTAGAAATGACACCCCAGGAGAATTGGGGGGGGGGGAAGCGATTCTACATGCCAGGAGAGCCGGCCAAGGCTTCTAATGGATGTCACATAAGTTTTTATTGCTTTTCTAAGGGGTCTGGGGGGAAGCGGGTGGGTATTCTTACCGTTTACTGGGCTTATTTAGCCCAGTAAACCTATTTAGCCCAGTAAACTGTGGGAATACTGTCTGGACTGCTGTATCCTGCAGTCCAGACCTGGAAATAGTAAATTTATCTTGTGCCTTCCAAGAAGGCTTGAAATAAATCCACTATCAAATTAATTCACTACAAACCAGGATTTTCCTGGTTTGTAGCAAATTAATTCTGTACTGTCCAGAATGTTGTCTGGACAGTCCTTCCTTTATTGCAGGAGTTCCCGCAATAAAGGTCCTGTCTGGATGGGCTCACAGTTGGTGCTTTTCAAGACATGTGCAGTTCTCTACCTGGTTGTGCTTTTCCTTATTCTTGTTCTCATCACCCCAGTCGAAACCTTTGAATAGTCCACAATGGTAGGCCTAATAGGAAAGACAATAAAATTAAATATTAAATTGCTAGGTTAATATTATTTATTTATTTACATATTTATTTATTTACTATATTTATATACCGTCTGTCTCAGCCCAGAGGTGACTCAAAGCAATTCACAAATTGGCAACAATTTGATGCCTCAACAATTATAACTAGTAAAAACAATCAAGAGATTCTGTTAAAAACAATAGCATATGATAAAAAATATAAAAACCGTACAAAGCCTTAAAACATTATCATGATCATCTCCATGTCAAATCATTTTTCCATTGAGTTATCAAGTAGTTCCATAATTCCATTTAGCTATACCATATTTGGGAAGACCTGCTCAAAAAGCCAGGTTTTCACCTTGTTTCGAAAAGTCAGGAGGGAGGGAGCTGATCTTATATCTCTAGGCAGGGCATTCCACAGTTGAGGGGCCACTGCTGAGAAGGCCCTCTCTCTCGTCCCTGCCATACGCATCTGCAAAGAAGGTGGGAGTGAGAGCAGGGCCTCCTCAGAAGATCTTAATGTCCTAGATTGTTCAAAAGGAGTTACGTTTGGATAGGTAAGTTGGACCGAAACCGTGTACTAATTGAACATAAAGATGTGCCAAGGGTAGATGATTATACTTGGCTTGAAGTGTAGGGGAAATCTGCCAAGAGCACAATCTATTCACCTAATTGGAAGCCCTAGTGAACTCCATGGGCCTTACTTCTGAGACGAGCTGTATAGGATGATACTGTAAAATCTTACTCTGGTTTGACTTGGAACTTAAAAGAACACTTGCTTGGAGAAAGCATTATATTAAAATGCAAATGGAGCTTATTCAAAGTAAAAACAACAGGAATTTCCATTAAGGAATTTGTTAGGACCTGAAACCTTGCTGCATACATTGACAAGTGTTTCTAATTTACCAAGTCCATTTCTATTTTTTAAAAGAAGAAGAAAAAGGAACTCAAACAAGAAGCATGAAGGTAGTGTTTAAAACTGCTTATCCAATTTTGGGGGAGAGGGGGAAGAAAGTTTAAGTTGACCAACTTCTCCTTCCTGTCTGTTTCCCAGCTAATGTGCCTTTTCTTTTTCATATTAACCACCTATTCTTTCTTGGGGAGTCTCAGTAGGCTTGTTCGCCTTTTCCTTTGTCTTAGGAGTAATAGTGTGGTAGTGCAGTATGGTGTTGAAAGCATAATTCTTTTCTGTATTCTTGTTAGCTTAGAGCAGTGTTTCTCGACTTGAGGTTGGGACCCCTGGGGGGTCATGAGGCGGGTGTCAGAGGGATCACCAAAGACCATAAGAAAACACAGTATCTTCTGTTGGTCGTGGGGTTTGTGTTGGGAAGTTTGGCCCAATTCTATCATTAGTGGGGTTCAGAATGCCCTTTGATTGTAGATGAACTATAAATCCAAGCAACTACAACCCCCAAATGTCAAGGACTATTTTTCTCCAAACTCCACCAGTGTTCACATTTGGGCATATTGAATATTTGTGCCAAGTTTGTTCCAGATCTATCATTGTTTGAATCCACTGTACTCTCTAGATCAGTGGTTCTCAACCTGATGTTTTTGGCCTTCAACTCCCAGAAATCCTAACAGTTGGTAAATTGGCTGGGATTTCTGGGAGTTGTAGGCCAAAAACATCTGGGGACCCCAGGTTGAGAATCACTGCTCTAGATATAGGTGAATGACAACTCCAAAACTCAAAGTCAATGCCCACCAAACCCTTCCAGTATTTTCTGTTGGTCATGGTAGTCCTGTGTGCCAAGTTTGGTTCAATTCCATTGTTGGTGGAGTTCAGAATGTTCTTTGATTGTAGGTTACCTACAAATCCCAGCAACTGCAACTCCCAAATGACAAAACCAATCCCACCCCCAACCCCACCAGTATTCAAATTTGGGCGTATTGGGTATTTGTGTCAAATTTGGTCCAGTGAATGAAAATACATCCTGCATATCAGATATTTACATTACAATTCATAATAGCAGCAAAATTACAGTTATGAAGTAGCAACAAAAATAATTTTATGTTTGGGGGGACACCACAACATGAGGAACCACAACATTAATGGCCATGGCATTTGGAAGGTTGAGAACCACTTGCTTAGAGGGGCTGACAGAATGGAGTGAAAAGCCTTTTGATTTCACCTGTGTCATACCTGTCCCCTGGAGGAAGATAAAAGGTGCAGGTGAGTGGTTAGTAGGTGGCAGAATTGGCTTTGGGAGAGTCAGAAGGGTGGCATAAGCAGACAGAGCAGGGGTCCTCAAACTATTTAAACAGAGGGCCAGGTCACTGTCCCTCAAACTGTTGGAGGGCCGGATTATAATTTGAAAAAAGTATGAATGAATTCCTATGTACACTGCACATATCTTATTTGTAGTGCAAAAAAAACCCACTTAAAAACAATACAATAATTAAAATGAAGAACAATTATAACAAATATAAACTTATTAGTATTTCAATGGGAAGTGTGGACCTGCTTTTGGCTGATGAGATAGGATTGTTATTGTTGTTGTGTGCTTTCAAGTTGTTTCAGACTTAGGTTGACCCGGAGCGAGGGCCGGGTAAATGACCTTGGAGGGCCGTATCCAGGTCCCGGGCCTTAGTTTGAGGACCCCTGAGATAGAGGATGGAGATTTTCCTCTTCTGTACATGCAAATTTTGATCAACGTAGGGGGAAAAAAGTGAATTAAGAGGTTCCCCTCCCATTTAGAGAAGAGCCATCTGAATGCAATTGCTATAAATCCAAGTTTGACTTGGAAATCTCCCATGTCGCTCTAGTTATTTACTAGATAGAATTATATGTTGCTATGAGTCATATGTTCATGAAAGTTCCTGCATTGATGGGCAGGGCTTTACCTTCCTAGCAAATGGCAGCAGATCAAAGAACTAGAAAAGTGACCTGAATTCCTTATAACACTTTTACAATTGTTTATATTCATCAGAAGGTATCAAGAGTAATTTTCAGCTTGCCAAATAATCGAATAAAAGAATAGCATTGCAAGTGATTCATGCTGTTATTATCTAGGTGTTATACACTGAGCTGCACTTGAAAATAGTATGGAAGTTCTTGTTTGTGCAGAAATGGCAACTGGAGCTGTGCTTGTTTCATCTTGATGGAGATTGATTACATTAATTCAAAATAAATTATAATGAGTCTTTGCTATAGGAAGCTAAATTCAAGGTGCTGTTTTCACTTTTGAGTGCTAAGTGGCATATAGTCCAGACATCCAAACAAAAATCTCTTCGGGTTGCTGTGAGCTTTCTGGGCTGTATGGTTTTGTTCCAGAAGCATTTTCTCCTGATGTTCTGCCCACATCTATGGCAGGCATCCTCAGAGGTTATGTTGGAAATCAGGCAAGTGGGGTTTCTACATCTGTGGAATATCCAGGGTGGGAGAAAGAACAGTTGTCTGTTTGAGGCAAGTGAAATGTTGCAATTGGTCACCTTGATTAGCACTGAATAGCCTTGCAGCTTCAAAGCCTGGCTGTTTCCTGCCTGGTGGATCCTTTGTTGGGAGGTGTAGGCTGGCCCTGATTCATGGCTGGAATTCCCCTGTTTTCTGAGTGTTATTCTTTATTTACTATTCTGGCTTTAGTGTTTTTTTTAAAAAATCCTGGTAGCCAGATTTTGTTCATTTTCATGGTTTCCTCCTTTCTGTTGAAATTATCCACATGCTTGTGATTTTCAATGGCTTCTCTGTGTACGGTCTGACAGGTGGCTGTGAGAGTGGTCCAGCATTTCTGTGTTCCCAAATAATATGCTGTGTCCAGGTTGGTCCATTAGGTCCTCTGCTATTGCTGACTTCTTTGGCTGAGTTAGTCTACAGTTCCTTTCATGTTCCTTGGTTCGTGTTGGGACAATGCTGTGTTTAGTGGTCCCTATGTAGTCAAGTCCACAGCTGCATGGCATACAGCAGACTCCTGCGGAGGTGAGAAGATCCCTCTTGTCCTATGCTGAACCTAGCATTTGTTGGATTTTCTTAGTGAGTCTGTAGATAGTTTGTAGGTTGTGTTTTTTCATCAGCTTCCTTATGTGGTCGGTGGTTCCCTTGATGTATGGGAAGAATACTTTTCCTCTGGGTGGATCTTTGTCTTTACTCTCATGGCTTGTTCTTGGTCTTGCAGCTCTTTTGGTGTCTGTGGTGGAGTATCCATTGGCCTGTAGAGCCCAGTTGAGGTGGTTCAGTTCATCTTGGAGGTGGTGGTGTTCGCAGATTCTTTTTGTGCAGTCTGCCAGAGCTTTAATTGTACTTTTTTGACTTGGATGATGGTTGAAGATTTTATGTTGGTATCTATTTATGTGTGTAGATTTTCCGTACACTGTGTGGCCCATCTGTTGATTGGGTGTGCAGATGACTAGGACATTTAGAAATGGATGACTAGGAAATCTAGAAATGGGGGAAGAGATGAAAATCTCTTCCCCCATGATTCTGTATGTGCATTAAAGACTTCTCCAAGAAGCATTACTGCACTATGTATTTACAAAGAAATAAAAGCCTAAACTGTTGTTTTTCCCTGGATGAAGTCCCAAGAGAGAGATTAATAGTGGTCAGTTTCTGTTCTGTGGTAAATTAAAACATTTTCTATTACCCCAGGGACTTTCATATTTATATTACATATTAATGGATTTTTGTGCATTTTGTTGGTTTACTGTTTCAAGGGTTAGTGATCATTCCAATATGTATTTTTCCATACTGAAATGTGATCTCTTGATAATAGAGCGATATATAGAATTTAATATATATTGAATCTTTTCCCCTCATGCTCTCTCCCCCCTTCCCTCTCTTTATAGTGTGTGTGTGTGTGTGTGTGTGTGTACACACACACACACACACACACACACACACAGAGGGTAAATATATATACCTGGCTCCAATGCAGTATATTCTGAGCAGATGTTCCAGCGGGTGAATGAGCCACATACACATTTATTCGACTCTAGAAGAAAAAAAAAGGAAAAAAAATCATTTCTTTACAACAAAACATATTTCTCAGTATGAATAATATTTTATTAACATTTATACCCCTCCTTTTTTACAGTTTGGGGCTCAAGATGGCATACAAATGTAAAACAAACCTAATTAAAATTTGATATATATAAAAATTTAAACAAACAATTATGTTATCCAGAAAAATTACAATTAAAACTAAGTAAAACCTAACAAAGGACTTGAAGATACACAACAACAACAACAAGGTACTAGGAACCCCAGATTTGTCCCTAAGTGTTAGGCTAAATCTGGCATTTCTAGTGTGTTGTTGTTGTTGCTGTTGCTGTTGTTTACTTCAAGTTCATTGCTGAGTTTTATTGACAATACTTCTTCAGAGAGGGTTTTCCTTTGCCTTCCCTGGAGCATGTGAGAATGTGACTGGCTCAAACCCTCCTTATAACAAAATCATTCATTTTTAGTCCCTATTTTAGACTCTATTAATGCCAGATTCATTCAGTCTGTTGCATCCATCTTGACTAAGTCTAAATTGCACATTATTTTTACTTTGTGGTTAACAATCTTACAACCACATACAACGGTGTGTCTTTTGACAATATGGCTGCTTCCTGTACAATTTTATAATGGAGCGTGCTGGCTCTTATCTCATGACATTGAATTACTTCTAGCGGGGCTCTGTTATAAAACTGTAGAGGAAGTGGCACATGCCACTGCCACCACAGCACAAGAGGTGTCCCATGTTCAATGGAGATCAACAGGGGGAAGCCAAGTGTCCAATGCTTCCCTCCATGGGATGAGGCAAGAAATGAGTTGGGTGATGCAGGGCATGGGGTGACGGGTTCCCCACACCACACGCTGAGCATCACCAGAAGAGGTCCTATACTAAGGTTGTTTTTAGGGACACATGAACTTTCAGTACTCCCAGTTTAACATAAAGGCCAACACATTTCCCTCTAAGGGACACATTTCTAGGGAACTTTGGAGACGCAGTGTAGTGGTTTGAATTGCCACGTCGACATGAAAATCCATTGTGTGACCTTGGGCAAGTCACATTCTCTTAGTCTCAGATGAAGTCAATAGCAAACCTTCTCTGAACAAATCTTAGGGTTGCCATAAGTTGGAAATAACTCGAAAGCATGCACCAACAAAAACTAGTGGCCCCTGGTTGTTTACAAATTATAAACAAGAAGTGAACTGCATTTTAACTTCGTCTTCATTTCCTGTTTAGATAAAGATTTCCCATGTGCCTAAAATTGAGAACATTTGGGGAGAGGGAACAAAAGACTCTGCAAAGTCCTCAGAGCAGTAGGCAGTGCAGTTCCCAGATCCTTGGCAGTTCCATGCTCCTGGGAAATAAAATTCATTTTCTTCATGTTTTCAGCTGCAAAAATGCAATAGAGACAGAAGAAGTATAGTGTGAACAAAAAAGGGATGAAGGTTGTCCTTCAGAAAAAAGGAAGTGAACAGTATAAAGACTTATTACTGTGAAAAGACAATGCATTTGTCATCAAGAGAACTGTGTGGTCGCTTCTGGGCCCACAGAAAAATTGGGCGACTTGGAAGGCACCACGACTCTGGCACCACGAGATGCAGAGCCAATCTTAAGAAATGGGGCTACAAAGTGGAATCCACGACATGCGAGTGTGGAGAAGACCAAACCACTGACCACCTGCTGCAATGCAACCTGAGCCCTGCCACATGCACAATGGAGGACCTCCTTGCGGCAACACCAGAGGCATCCAAGTGGCCAGATACTGGTCAAAGGACATTTAATCAACTTTGTGTTTTGCCTGTTTGTTTGTTTGTTTTGTTAAAAATGTAATACAAATGTCTGGTTGCTCCTGACACGATAAATAAAAATAAATCAAGAGAACTATTCAAGAATTCACTTTTTAACATAAAAAATTCTTAGAAATTAAGAAAATAATTTTTAAGAGGGATGAGATATTACATTTTGTTTTGATGCCAAATCCCTTGATGCTGTACAGTGTCTTGCTTTGAATAACTTAGAATGATGCTCCTTCTGCACTGGCCAGTTTGTTTCGGTTCGGTTGTGTTTGCTGTCATATAATACCAAACAGGACCAATGGTGGTAATATTAATTGCAAAAAAAATCCTATTATGCTTCTTTAGAGGAAATGAAACAATCTGATATTCAATTCTCCTTCCTGTTCTGTATTGGACACACACACACACACACAAAACAACTCTCCTCCTGAACTATATCAATTCCTTTGTTTATGTTACTGAGTACCATCCATTATCCCTTATCCAATAGGGTTGAGTATCTGTATTTTGATTTTTAAATAAGATTTTGGAATACTTGCATACATAATGAAGTATCTTAGGAGACCCAAGCACAAAAATTATGTACATTTTATTTAACTGTTTTAATTAATTATTTAATGATTTAATGGTATTGTTGAATGTTTATAATTGTGACAGCACCTAATGGTGCTTGCTGTGAGGCCATCCTGAGTCCCCCCCCCCTCGGGGGTGAGAAGGGCGGGTTACAAATACAGGAAATAAATAAATAAATAAATAAATAATAGATTAAAACAATAAGTCAAAATTGAACAGAGCACTTACCATATTCATATTTTCTGTATTGTATCCACTGAGAAGGAAGAAAATATTTCCACAAATCCCTGGAAAGAGTCCCCAGCCACATAATGTGGTAAGAATACTTTTGAATATTGGATTCCGAGGAAAGAAGTCTCTTTTGCCAAGCATAACCTATAATATAAAAAGAAGACTGTCATAATTTGAAATTGCCCTTGTTTGTTCAAGTCTTTTCCAGCTTCCCTGCTACAATTACAGATAAAAATTAGGGCACATGTCTCCAAATAACACCAGAGTGTGGTCAAGGTAACAACATTTATTGATGAAGAACATCTCTGATCAACCCGGGAGAGCATCTCCCCTCCCCCCAAATTGTGCGATTTCAGTCCACTGTGTGGCCTAAATCCCAAGAGGTACTGAGATTTTAAATTCTGGTTCCTTTCAATATTCAGCCCTGTACAGAAGTGATTATAATAATATGATTATAACTGTATTTATGTTTGCATTGGTTGCCCTAAGGCTGGAGCGGCCTAGCTGTGAGGAGTGTGTTACCATGGAAACGATGCTGCAGAGGAGTGGGAGGAGCTTAGAGAAGAGTGTTTTTGAAAAGCGACAGTTAAGAGTCAGTCAGGTTGGAGACTCTGAGAAGGGAAGAGTCAGGTTGGAGACTCTGAGAAGGGAAGAGTCAGGTTGGAGACTCTGAGAAGGGAAGAGTCAGGTTGGAGACTCTGAGAAGGGAAGAGTCAGGTTGGAGACTCTGAGTCAGGAGAGAGACAGTGTTCGTGAATAGTCAGAGATTTCTTCAGTTAGGAAAGCTGAAGAGGAAAACCTTATTAGTTTCTTTAGTTAGAAAGAACTAACAAAGGCTTGTTTAGATCCCTAGTTAAAAGAACTAGAGATCTGGTGTTTGATCATAGAAGAATCAAACGGGGAGACTATTCACCACAGTAAAACATTGTTTATTGAAGTGCTTCACCACAGCAAGAGTTTCATAAGTTGTAACATCGAAAGTCTGAACTGTATCACAACCAAGTTACATGTATCGTTCTCTAAGTATTTGCCAAGCTTAACATCAAACTGCAACCATACGCTTTGTTTCAAATAAACTTGTTCTCTTTGGTTTTTAAAACTGCCTCACCTCCATTTATTCTACGCTCGGTGTACCCAATCTCTCATAATTACCTCACAACACAAATAGGGTGGCATCCAGTGATATAAATACAAGAGCCTTTTACAATTTGGTGCCGGCTTGTAGTGGACTCCTTTGCAAGCCCTTTCTGAAAAAGGATGCAAAAGTTGTGCAATCCCATCTTCTTGCTCCACAGAGAACAGTGGAAACAGGATGGCAGCACTAGCCAATGTGAACAGCTGAGGCAATTTGAATTTAACACCAAGCTGTTGGCACCAATCACAAAGAGTGGGACTGTTTGGAGTTTCAGGGAAGTTCTAGAGCAGGCGTCCTCAAACTAAGACCCGGGGGCCGGATACGGCCCTCCAAGGTCATTTACCCGGCCCTCGCTCAGGGTCAACCTAAGTCTGAAATGACTTGAAAGCATACAACAACAACAACAACAACAACAGCAATCCTATCTCATCAGTCAAAAGCAGGCCCACACTTACCATTGAAATACTAATAAATTTATATTTGTTAAAATTGTTCTTCATTTTAATTATTGTATTGTTTTTAAGTGTTTTTCCCACTACAAATAAGATGTGTGCATAGGAAATCATTCTTTTTTTTCCCCCTTCAAATTATAGTCCAGCCTTCCAACAGTTTGAGGGACTGTGACCTGGCCCTCTGTTCAAAAAGTTTGAGGACCTCTGTTCTAGAGCATTCCTTGACTTCTGCTAATGCAAGATAAAATTTAGTTAATTGATTTTACCCTGTGATATGTGGATGGATAAATGAAATTGTATGTTTGGGGTATAATGAGGGGCTATTAAGGTTTGCCAAGACTGAAGATACCATCCTAAGAAGATTCAGGGTCTACCTTCAAGGTGCTAGTACAAATGCAGTGTAACAGCAAGAAAAACAGTTCTACCTATAGCTTTCTTCTAAAGTTTAAGGGACTTCCAGATAAAATTGCTTACGTTGACAGCTGTCATCTCTGAACAACAGTTATACCAATACATGTGTGATTTCTGGAAAATCAGGGGAAAGATGTGACTTAGAGAATCATCTTGTCCCTGCACTTCAATTAAGACAAATACCAATTATTCTTGAGAGTTGTGCATGAGATTATAAATATTACCATTGCAGTCCTATTAACCGTCCTGAGTTGCCCCTGGATTGAGAAAGACGGTATATAAATGTCGTAAATAAATAAATAAATAAATAAATATTCATGCCTACCCTGAAGTTCAGGGGGATTTCCACAGAAAAATGTCACGTATAATGGTGACCTTGAGTATATATAGTATGAAAAAACCCTAATGACATTGGGAAAATAATCCAAATTTGTGGGATATAGAAACAATACATACCCTGAGTGAGCTTACTGGAAGACTTAAGAATATTGTTGCAGGACTTCTGGCATATTTAATTCTAGTCACAGGAGCTAAGGCAAAAAACATTTTCACCTTTTGAGCTAACTCTGGCATTGTTGAAAAAGCTATGAATCCTGAGAGAAAAAGTCAAAGACACAAAAGAAAAATCAATAAAGGTCACAAGTGCCTTGTGTCCCACCAAATTTCAACTTATATAGCAAAATTATAAAAATTAAATATCGGCCTCAAACAAAAATATATGTATTATACTGGGAAATACCTTTTTTTTCACCTCCATCATATGTTTTTTTCCCTCTCATTTTTCTTAGATATGTATGCTGTCTCACATAGATACATACCACTCTCATCACAGAAACAACAGACTGTCCAGAAGCTTCAAATGGTCCAATGGATGGCACCCATATTGCTAACACGGAATAACAGATGATGAGATTGGATTCTGATTCTATTGATGAGACGCGAATGATTTGTCATATTGATGTTTAATTGTTGTTATGCTATTGTTCTTAAATGTTCTAATGGTTTTGTAATGTGGGCATTGAAATTGCTGGTGTTAACCGCTTTGAGCCACCTAAGGGCTGAGAAAAGCGGTATATAAATGAAGTAAATAAATAATAAATAAATAAATAACAGGAGCGGCGCTGAGGGAGCATACAACTCCTCTGCTGCGCCAGCTCCACTGGCTGCCAGTTTGCTACCGGGCACAATTCAAAGTGCTGGCTTTAGCCCATAAAGCCCTAAATGGTTTTGGCCCAACTTACCTGTCTGAACACATCTCCCCTTATGAACCATCTAAGACCTTAAGATTGTCTGGGGAGGCCCTGCTCTCATTACCATCTTCATCACAAGTACATTTGGTGGGGACGGGAGACAGGGCCTTCTTGGTGGTGGCCTCTCAGCTGTGGAACGCCCTCCCTATAGATATTAGATCGGCCACCTCCCTTTTAACATTCTGGAAAAAAAGTCTAGATGTGGCTTTTTGAGCAAGTGTTTACAAATGCAGAGTAACTGACATAGGAAAATGGAACGACTATGGGACCGGACAATGTTTTTAACAAGGAGATACTGATGATTTATGTTTTATTGATTCATATTTTATTGATTTTGTTTTGGTTTTTATTATATGTTAATGTTTTTAATTGTATTTATGGTAAACCGCTTTGAGTCGCCTGCGGGCTGAAAAAGGTGGTATATACAAATACAGTAAATAAATAAAGGATATTTTTCAACTCCTTGCAAAATTGCTTTAATTTGGTCATCTTTAACCATATTTTCAAGATAATAGCTTTCCTTTCAAAAAATTTCTTGTACCTGGAGCACTGCTATCACCAGTGCCCATGGCACATGTTTTCCAAGACTTCTTTTTAGCTGTTGATACTGACATGTTTGTAAAAGCCACCAGAAAATATGTTTTAATGCAATAGATAATTTGGGGGAGAGTGGCTGTGTGGTGATCTGAATGTCTAGATGCCTAAAATGGATTTTGAACCACCAGTCTCAATGGCCTCCCTTCATCCACAAAGGCCCATCCAGACAGGTCCTTTCCATGACAGTTTGAGGCTGGTAGGAGGCACTGATGGGAGATTGTGATTGGATCTACACTGCCCTATATCCCAGTATCTGATCCCAGGTTTTCTGTTAATCCCAGATTGTCTGGCAGTGTGGACTCATAATCCAGTTTAAAGCAGAAAACCTGGGATCAGATCCTGGGATATAGGGCCTATCTGGAAGGGGCCTGAGAAATCTGGCAGAAATGACTGCAATGCAGATTGTAAAAATCTGCCTTTCAAAGTCCTGGGGTTCTGGCATCCATTTGGGATTTTATGTTTAAAAAAAAGGTGCAGAGATAGCTACCACCTGTGAAATTCTACCTACTAGAATTCTGGGTATTATAAGTACTTCAAAAGGAACTGTTTGTTTGTGTGTGTTTACAAACAAATACAAATGAATGTGTGGTGCCCCCCTGAATACAATTCAGGAGACTCATTGTAATGGGCAGTTTGGCAAAAGCTGGGTAACCCAAAGGATTAAGACAATTGAACATCCCCCTTTGGATATTTCCTCTTTGGAGCCATGTGAACCATAACAGTGTGCACTTTTGTGATGTTTGTAATGAGATAAGATATGCTATGGAAAGACACCAAAGGTGAAGGAGATAGTAAAATAGTCAGATTTTGTGCTAGATCAAACCTGGATGCTATGGTGGAAAGCTTCTCGTCTCTGGACTTTTTGGTGAATCTGTTCTCAATTTTTCAAGTATTTATTCCTCCTCCTGCTCTTGATTCTTTGGACTGGTGTTTAACTTTTTGTTTTACATAAACAACTTCCCTCCCTTCTATGTGTGTTTGTGTTGTTTTGCTGTTTTGTGTTACATATGTATGTGTATGTGTTGGTATATCTATAGTGTATATCAGGGGTCCTCAAACTAAGGCCTCCAAGGTCATTTACCCGGACCTCACTCAGGGTCAACCTAAGTCTGAAATGACTTGAAAGCACACAACAACAACAACAACAACAACAACAACAACAACAACAACAACAATCCTATCTCATCAGCCAAAAGCAGGTCCACACTTCCCTAAAAAGGTTATATTTGTTAAAATTGTTCTTCATTTTAACTGTTTTATTTTTTGCAATACAAATAAGATATGTGCAGTGTGCATAGGAATTCATTCGTGTTTTTTCCCCCAAATTATAATCCAGCCCTCCAAGCACACAATAAGACCTGGCCCTTTGTTTAAAAAGTTTGAGGACCCCTGGTGTATCAATATATCAAACTTTGGTCTTCCAGACTCCTTGATCAGCAAAAACAGCTGAGGCTTCTGGGAGTAAAAGTCCAGAACACCTGGAAGATCAGAGTTTGGAAACCAGTGGTGTACGTTGTTTAGTTTTCATATTGTTAATGCCTTTGATATATAATTTGAAGATTACATTTATCAAATGAGTTGTTACTAAAATGCAGATTCAGTTACAGAAGTTGATTTCAACCATGACAAATGTATGGAAAAGAGAGGAACTAAAATCCAGTCTGATAAGATTTGGCTTTTGGTGAAGACTTCTCGCACAGAGCTTGTGCAGCTCTGCTATTAACATAAAGCTCAGGCTCCTGTCAATGAATGTGCAAGATTCAGGAGGACTTAAGTCTTCTCTATGTGAGTACTCAAAACCAGCCACATAATTACAAAACCTTCCATTTGCCAACGGAAGGACTTTCTGCAGATGACTATGAACCAAATTATGTAGATAAACATCCTTTCACTGTAGATATCATTATCTTATAAACTACTGAAAGATGGAAGTGAAGGCTCTTCCAGAC